CTCCTCCTTCCTTGTTCTCTTCCTCTCCTCCCTTTGGTACTCTTCTTTCTTCATCCTCCTCCTCTTCCTCTATTCTTAATTCTAGTGGCATATGATCCGACTCTATTCTACCTCCAATTACAAAATCTTCTGCCTTACAATATATTTCCTCACTTACAATTACATAATCTATCACCGTGTTTCCTCTAGCGCCTACATAAGTGAATTCCCCTTCCCAATCCCCTTTATAATCTCCATTTAATACATACCATCCTTTTTCTTGCACCCACCCTATTAATCTTCTCCCATCCTTTCCTATCATTTTATCCTTACTTCTTCTACCCTCTCCTTCTTCCCCCATTTCATTGTTCTTTAACCCTCCTATCCTAATATTAAAATCCCCTCCTATTATTATTTTCCCATTTTCTCCATCCTCCACCATCCTATTCAAACTCTCTTCCAACCTTTTCCATCCACCCTTATTATATATGGATATAACTATTATCTTTTCTCCTTTCTCTTTTATTTCTGACATAATTATCCCCTCCTCCCTTTTTTTAATTAACTTTCCTTCCTTCTCCCCCCATCCTTTCCTTATACCTATAATCATTCCTCCCATCGCCCTCCCTTTCCTTTTCTCTCTCTCCGCCCTACTGTATTCCCACTGATGTGACTTTGGTAACCTTTCCTTTATCCTTTCCCACCCTTTATCTATATAATTTTACATAATTACGCATAGATTTATATGTAATTATATATATTGTTATATATAATTGTGTATAATTATATATAATTTTATATGATTATATATAATTATACATAATTATGTATGGACAAATTTCATACATAATTTTGCGTGAAAAATTCTTCATCGGGATATAAGTAGTTAAAATACAATATAAAGAGAATAAATGAAAGTGGATGTAAGAAGAATAGACAAATGATGATTAAATGCAAAGAAGTGAGCATTTTTTCTGAATATATAGTTAAAAGTAAAATATAAAAAAAACAAAAAGTTTAAGAATTAATAACTAGTAAATGAGATAATTTATTCTTATAAAATAAGAATGTTAAAAATGAATCCAATAAAAGAAATTTTCGCTAACACCAATATAAATATTGCATGATTTGAAGAGGTCTATGTAACACATTTACTTTTGTTGCCAGTAATTTTTGAAATTTCACACAAGATTGCCTTCTGTTTTTTAAATGAAAATCATTTTTATTCTATAAAAAAAGTTGTAGATAATATTAAAACAAATTCAATCATGTTAAACTATATGATCTTCAAACAACTCCTATTTGATTTACTAGATTCTGAATATAACAATTGTTCATTGTTTTAATTATGGTTTCAAAACAAAGTAATCCCTTATGAAATAATTTCAATTATGTGCTTCACTCTGTAGTATTTTTAATATTAAACATTAAAATAAGAAAAAAAGCATATTACAAAACAAAAAGTAAAAGCAATGCTCCTAATTCAAATTAAAATGTACGTGTATTCTTCCGACATTTTCCTGAAACGTGACCTATTTTGTTGCAGTTTACACATATAGTATTTACTGCAGAGCACGCGGATTTAGACGCGATATGCGTTAAACCACAATAATTGCAGTTTAAGA